AATAATAATAATAAATATGCTGGCAAAAGTTGAACATATTGACTGTAAATGTAATATTTTATCTCACAATTATCTCTTTTAATGTATATTTTTTGACTTGCCATACCTATTGTTCCTAATGTGTCATCAATACATTATTCCAATCAACTGAAACACACAGACATGTAGAAGTACATTAAGATTAAGAACAAGGCATAACAATCAATTGTGATCCAGAAATGGTTGAAAATAAAATAAAATAAGTCCAGAATTAACAGCTGTGAGTCGGAGGGTCTTGTGTTTTTGCTGACTCGCTCTGAAGGTCACGTCTTTCCAACGGAGAGAGATATTTCCTGACTCAGCAAATTCACAAGCTGCAAAACTGTCAAAAAACACACCAAGACTTCCTTTCTTTCTCACTGACTGAGGGAAAACACTCCCCAGAATATGTCATGTTTCAAAAGGCTTGCATCCTATCAGTATTTTTCGACGAAACTCCAATAGAGTTTGGTCAAAATATCGATTTTATGATTAATTGAAACAGTTTTAATCCTGATTTTCTGACACACTCAGATCACAGGAACAATCGTTATCTTTGATTATATCACCAGCTTTTTCACTTGAAAATACACAAGATTTTACTTACCATTGAGTGGCTTTTCAGAGGCTTATAAACATGTGCACTACCTCATTCCTTTGTCCTGTTTTAACTAGAAAAGTCAGATATGTTTCCATGTGTTTATTTCATGAGCGCAGGGCTTTAGAACATTATATTTATCCCTGTCCTTGAACTGAATAACTGAGAATGTTTGAATGCTCATATTTACGATTGTACTGATGGAACATGAAAGCAGCATTAGCTCAGTTTAACTTTCCTACCTTCCAAGGATTTAATGTCAAACACACACACACACACACACACACACACACACACACACACACACACACACACACACACACACTGTATTCAGCAGGTTGATGGACGGTCCAGTGAAATCGTAGTCCAGTTAGAGAAACTCTATCTGTCTCCTCTGTCTGCCCAGCTGTCTGTTGACTGCACGCATACATACACACACACACACACACACACGTCCATCTGTCGACCTCTCCTCTCTCCCCCAGCTCAGCAGGCTAATTAACTAATGTGCTGATCTTTCACTGCCTCGTGTGTGTGTGTGTGTGTGTGTGTGTTGTGTGTGTGTGTGTGTGTGTGTGTGTGTGTGTGTGTGTGGGTGTGTGTGTGTGTGTGGTGTGTTGTGAGTGTTTGTGTGTGTGTGTGTGTGTGTGTGTGTGTGTGTGTGTGTGTGTGTGTGTGTGGTGGTGTGGTGTGTGTGTGTGTGTGTGTGTGGTTGTGTGTGTTGTGGTTGTTGATGTGTGTTGTGTGTGTGTGTGTGTGTGTGTGTGTGTGTGTGTGTGTGTGTGTGTGTGCGTCACGGGGTTAATTGTCGGGCTCGTCTTACTGTACCTCTCTGTCGCTGCTGGTTTGAAAACCATTGAGAAGACGTCTTGTAACGCTCCGTCTTTCAGCCGAAACTGTTCTTCTAGTGTCTCAGTTAGCGGGAGCCGCACTCCTCATCACGGCTGTCAGATTCGTGACTTTGTGAAAGTTAATCTGAGCTCAGCTGTGTCTAGGGTTTTTTATTTTAAATGTTCAAAGACGTCTCCCAAAAGAGCCTCTTCTTCTTCTTCTTCTTCTTCTTTCCTTCTTCTTCCTCAGATGATTAATGAAGCTCAGACCTCCCACGTGTCTGAAGTCACGTCTCAGTTGCCAGATGTAAAATGACACACTGACTCTGTAATTAACACGACAGGGCAGCGGATTACAGAAGTTTGTTTGTCAGGACTTATTAAAGCTGTCAGTTTTGATTTAAAATCCCCCCCAAAAAGACTTGAGCTCAGATATCAGAGCTGCAGGAATCTGGTGTTTCCTCTCAGAAGTAGATCAAACCTTCCTGTAGCTTCAACTAAATGTTCATTTCATTGTTGATTATTAGAAGGGTTGCGACGTCAACATTGAGTTGTGCAAAATATCCCCTTGCAGGACGAGCAATCTCAAAAAGGCAAATAACAGCAACTACTGTATGAGAACGACTTTTTTGCTGCTTACTACGACGAAACAACCTATCTGTGCAGATTTTTAAGAATCAACCAAAATGTATCACGGTTTTAAACAATCAAAGAAGACCCCGCTAAGTATTGAACAAAACCTGAAAGGAAAAACATAGAAAAATAACATTTTGTCTTAAAACAAAAAGTCAGTTGGATGATGGCTTTTTCAACCAAATGTGTATATAAAGCCAAAAATAGGAATCGTCAACATAGAGTAAAAACTTCTGTAGTTTTCCATTTCAAAATATACACACAATATACATATACATATATATATATTGCATAAAATGTAATTTTTGTAACAATATTGTGCAGTCGTCGTTCTGCCAAATTATCAATCAATCTTTCAGTTCAAGAATCAAATATATTGAATTTATATTTGAATAAAAAGGGAAATATTCACACTGGACAAACAGATGTCAAAACAAGTGAACACAATAAAACAACATTAATGCAAAATACATCAATAAAAGACAAGGAAATAATAATAAAATAACAATGTAAATACATTTAGAGCAGCAACCAGTAAGAACTAAGACGACATGTGAATTAAAACCGTTTAAAAAGTGGGAATTAAGAGCAAACGTTGACCTTAAATTAAATAGGAAATCAAATAAGTCACATGGGCTAACAACCGGTAACAGCAGTACGAATAAAACAGCATTTCCTGTAAAGATGATATTGTTGGAGCCCGTTGATTGTCTGCTGTTAGAGGATAACATCTAAAGGTATAGTTGTCTCTGGGAATAAGCGGTGAACCTGAGGGCTGTTTAGTTCTCAGAAGCTTGTCACAGATTGTGCGGTGCCGTGTAGGGTCTTGAAAAAACAAGCATCACAAATTTAAAATCAATTGTAGAACGTACTGGAAGCCGCTGTAACGACCTAAAGCTGCACGGTCGTGTTTCCCGACACAAACAGAGAACAGGTCTTTAGATTGGAGCGGATCGATGTGTGTGTTCCTGTTGGATTGAAACGCTCTGATACCGTCTGTGAGGAGGCTTTACAGCCACTTCACCCTCTGATGGGCGACAGTAGGGTTTTTCACAACTGGTGGGAAATATACTTCAACCAAGACACTCAAAACCGATGTATTGTATGTAGTAGTATTTAAATCATAAAAAATATGGAATATGAAGGCTCACAAAACGGAGCATGCCCATAACAAATATCTGACTGTTAATACAGCATTATATCCATTTTCATGTTCATTTATTTGCAGAGTAGGATCGAATATGTGGGAGTTTTGTGTGGTACATGAATGCATCGTAAAAATAAAGGAATTGGTGTATCTTGATGGTAGGGAATCTCGGATCACAATAATCCTGAAAGCGAAAGTAATGAAAACGTTGAGAGAATTAAAAATATCGGAGAATATAAGAAACAGACAGAGGAGAAAGCGAGGCTCTTTGTTTCCACTCTCAGTTTCTCATATTCTCTCTTATTGATTCATGTGCCCATGCTGAAGCCCGATATGAAGCTCTGCCACAGTCGAGGGTTCAATTCCCACCAGGACGCCCACGCTCAGAACATTTCAGCTTTTAACGCAGAAAAAAACTCCTTCAGGGAAAGAAGAAAACCCTCCATTTTGTCTCGTTCATGAGTTTAGATTAGGATTAAACTGATTTCACTGCTGTGTGTGTTGTGTGTGTGTGTGTGTGTGTGGTGCTGTGTGTGTGTTGGGTGTGTGTGTGTGTGGTGTGTGTGTGTGTGTGTGTGTGTGTGTGTGTGTGTGTGTGTGTGTGTGTGTGGTGTGATGTGTGTGTGTGTGTGTGTGTGTGTGTGTGTGTGTTAGTGTGTGTGTGTGTGTGTGTGTGTGTGGGTGTTTGTGTGTGTGTGTGTGTGTGTGTGTGTGTGTGTGTGTGTGTGTGTGTGTGTGTGTGTGTGTGTGTGTGTGTGTGTGTGTGTGTGTGTGTGTGTGTGTGTGTGTGATTAGAGCTGTCAGTCAAACGTAAGCGGAGTAGAAATCGCTGCCAGGATGAGAGTGAAGTTTCCATCAGCTCAGTGCTGAAGCTTTATGAGAGAATCAGTGAGAATACAGACAGAAACAGATCAATACCTCTATCACACACACACACACACACACACACACACACACACACACACACACACACACACACACACACACACACACACACACACAGCTAATCTCTACACTGTCAGAGGAATCCTGTGTGTGTTGGAGAGTTTTTTTGTGAATAATGAGGACTAAAAGCTCCATTTCATTCTGGAGACATTTTTTCTTCAGTCTCATACATATGAAAAGTCAGAATGACTGAGATTGAAGTCAGGATATCGCGGGTAAGAAAGTCTGAATATTGTAGGTTAAAGTCAGGATTTGTTGGTGGATGTCCAAATGATAACACGCAGAATAAACCAGATTGAGAAGGTTTATCTATATAATGTTAGTTTGAACCTTCATTCTAACCAGTCTGTCTAACAGTGTGAATACTAGGTTTTCAGCACGATATGTATTATAGCGATTTATCTGGAGATCAATCTGGTTGCTGATATCACAAAGTCTGGCACGATACCTTTTGTTTCAGAGTCTGTTAATCTTTTAATATAAACCTTAAATAGACTTTGCTATTCGCTATGTACCAAAGTGCCACCTTTTTCATGTTCAAGCAATGTTTTAATGCTAAGGAACAAGAGGCACTTTGACCAAAATGGCGACACAGACAGGCGATGGGAATTTCAAAATAAAGGCATATGAACCGATATGTATTCACATGCATTCTTTAGATTCTGAACAGATTCCTGTAGTTGATCACATTATAACACTCTCTCTCTCTCTCTCTCTCTCTCTCTCTCTCTCTCTCTCTCTCTCTCTCTCTCTCTCTCTCTCTCTCTCTCTCTCTCTCTCTCTCTCTCTCTCTCTCTCCACAGCCATGCCCCGTTAAAGCGGCCTCCTCTTCCTCAGTCCTGCAGCAGATCTCCTCCTCTTCCTCCTCCCCTCCTCTCCTCCTCCATCCCTCCATCCTCCTCCTCTCTCTCTCCACCATGTTCCCCTCTTCCTCACCTCTCCTCCTCTTCCTCCTCCTCTCCCTCCTCTCCTCCCCCCTCCTCTCGGCCCCAGCTCTTCCCCCCCCTCCCCCCTTGGCGACGGGTCGGGTGGTGTTTCGGCCGTTCGACACCTCCCTCACTCACCTGACGGTCCACCGGAGGACGGGCGAGGTGTTCGTGGGCGCCGTCAACCGTGTGATGAAGCTGTCGTCCAATCTGACGGAGATGAGGAGTCACATGACCGGCCCGGTGGAGGACAACGCCAAGTGTTATCCCCCCCCCAAGCGTCAGGGCCTGCGCTCACCGGTCAGTACACCTGTCTCACTGCTGTCTCGCTGCTCCACCTGTCTGTCTGATCGGCTACTTGTCATTTTTATGCCATATTGTACAATCACACATTTAGGAGATTTATGACTTTAAAATTGAAAAAAGTTTTTGACTTACTGAACCCTAAATACAAATTATTATATTTTTAATAATTTTTAATATATATTATAAAATAACTTTTTTAATGACCTGATAATTATGAAATGTTTTATTCATTTTTTTATGACCTATTATAATATGGCTTTTCATGAAATGACTATAGTATGACTTTTTGTAGTCTGTCTAGTAGATCTGTACCAAGTGACATTTATTCACAGCTTTAATCAAGATTTTTAAATCAAGCTATGAATGTATTTTATTACAGGACAAAAAGTGATTTTACTGATTTAATTAGTTTTATTAAATCAACTTTCTTTGATGAGTACAACTTGAAAGTGCACACCTCTCTTTTGGGGGGAAAGCAAACAACCACAATTATGGTTTTAAAGGGGACCTATCATGCAAAATGCACTTTTTGATGTCTTTTATACATAAATATGTGTCTCACGCAGCGTCAGAAAATAAAACCCTCTCTCTTTTCCTCCGTACCCAAATCTTTTAAAAACGGGGGGTACAACGAGCGGATACAGATTTGCTGCCAATATGACGTAATTTCCGATGGTGGACCCACAGAGAGTTGCTATCAGAAACAATGCCTGACATGTTTTGGACGTAATCTCGTCTTTGTTTACATTAGCCTCGCTAACACGCAGAGCTAACCTGTACTGGAGAGAGCATGTGTTTAAAAAGCAGGAAATCAAAAGGAACTCATCTTGTGATAAACCCGCAAGAGAAAAAGCATTTGAGCTCCATACTGTTTCAGAGATAATCCTTGATGTGGTTTGGAACAGGATGGCGTTTTATCACAGCAGAATTTAACTTTATCTCCGGTAGAATTCTGAGCAGGCATATCTGAGACCCATAATATATGCCTTAAAATAGCTTGATAGGTGCACTTTAAAACATGTTGTGAGTATTGGCAATTCTTAATTGAATCAATCATTTTTTAATTCTAGTGTAGCCTACTGTAGGACTCCAGCGTTATTTGGAACAATCCTTCATAGCCACTACTGGAATCTAATTTACACTAGAAGACTAATAATATTAATCAGGCCTACTCCTTTTCTGCGACTTTGCACAATCACCAGCTTTAAACAGAATGGATGGACTTGCAAAAAGCCAACATCCAAATAAACTGTGCAACATTTTCATAAAAAGTTTCAAGGTTTTCTGGGTCTTCATTCTCACCTGTCTAACCTCCACCTGTGTCTCTCCCCCCCCCTCAGACTGGACTCCTCAGACAACGTGAATAAACTCTTGCTGGTGGATTACACCGGGAACAGGCTGGTGGCGTGCGGCTCCATCTGGCAGGGCGTCTGTCAGTTCCTCCGACTCGAAGACCTCTTCAAACTCGGAGAGCCTCATCACCGCAAAGAGCATTACCTGTCCGGAGCCAGAGAGGCTGATGGGATGGCAGGTGAGCATCGGGGGGGTCAGTTATATATACATGGACAGGTAGAGATTCAAGAGAAAGATTGTAGGGGACAGACTTCAAAAACAGATGGAAGCAACCATCCTGAATCTCATTGAAACTTTGTTTGAAAATAATCAAGTAAATGCTAACTCATGCTATCGGTAAATGCAGAGAAGGTCACTTGGGCTCAGAGGTTGCGTTAGACTTTTTCGCTGCACGTCATTTTGACGAACAAGATCGTAACATTTCAATGATTTGTTCGACAACGTTAGGTTTGAAAATGGTATCATTTCCTTTTTGGAGGGCATGCATAACACGGAAAAACACCGGAGCCTCGCTGCGGGGAAGCTTTGGCGCTGTTCCGAGTTCTAATCCGTCAAAATGATGGACTGCTTTCAGATTTTTCCGTCATTGTTAAAAAAATCTGTCATAGACGGAAACTATTCGATTAACGCGACCTCTGCTTGGGCTAACCATTAACTAGCTAACAAGCTAACAAGCTTACATTCATCCTGGTTTTTTTTTCTCCAGAGTCCGATGAAAAGATGGATGTTTCAACAGACAATGCACACTGGTCCAGGATTTGTTTAGCCTAGCTTAGCACAAATACTGGAATATATATATATTTTAAAGTGACTATGTGTTTTTAGTTAGGCCTCTAAGTCTCAAATACAGAGTTGTATTGTCTGCATTCGACAGTCCGTGCTGTCGTTCCCACTGCAGATTTAAATTCAGAAACATTAATTAGATTTGTCCTCGTATCACGTCAAATTTCTGTCAATCTTTCTGCCATAAAAATTAGAAACAGATCCCTAGGGTTTCCTTGTAGCTTTGTTCTTTACAAGCTAGAGAAACATTTCAACCTGCAGCTGTCAGTCAAGCGTCAACATGTTGTGCAGGTTTTTATTGTAAATCAGATGCTGTTTTATTTTGAACAAAAACCCGAATGAAAACTGTCGGGACAAAACAGAAGATGATTGACAAACAACACGAACATGACAGTCCTCATATCTCCGCTCTCTAAAACTTTCAGTGGGTTTCTGATTTATCTGTTCACATGTCACCCACCGTGCTGTGATATAAACATTAGATTGTTATATCTCATTATTGTACGACTTGATCTCATGATTGTAAGTTCTTAAATGGTTCGATACGAATACTGAGACAGCCTTGAGGGGACATTAGCAGGACTTATGCTGTTAACATGTAAAGACCAGTGACAGCCCTATAAAAACTTGTTAAAATATTCTTTAGACGTTGTTACAAGGCTCTTCTTGTGTATCTTCTTAATATTAATTTTACCTTTTTAGTTTAATAATAATAATATATTTTATTTCTATAGCGCTTTTCTTGAACCCAAAGACGCTTTACATTTGGGAGGGAGGGTAGACAAACAAAACAAAAACAAAAACAAAGCCAAAACAGAAAAGCAGTCAGGAGGAAGTTGATTGAGAGGGGGGGGGGGGCTTATGGATACAGAGTTGAAGAGGTGGGTTTTGAGGCGGGACTGGAACAGGGTGAGGGACTCAGACTCACGGAGGTATTGGGGGAGGGAGTTCCAGAGCTTCGGGGCTGCCACAGAGAAGGCTCTATCCCCAAAGCTCCGGAGTTTGGCCTTGGGGATGGAAAGCAAACCGGCTGAGGTGGATCTGAGGGACCGGGGTGGTTGGTAGAGGATGAGGAGGTCAGTGAGGTATGGGGGGGGGGATGGTGGAGGGCTTTGAAAGTGAGGACCAGGAGTTTGTCGTGGATGCGGTGTGAAACGGGGAGCCAGGTGGAGTTCTTTGAGGACCGGGGTGATGTGACGATTTGGTGTGGGTGAGGAGTCTGGCGGCTGCGTTCTGGACACGCTGGAGTCTATACCATTGAGATCCATAATCTATTTTACAAGGGCGTCCTAAACAAGACAGCAGTATTAAACCTTTTCGTATAGAAGCACCAGTCGTAAAACAAACATTAAACTGGATCAAATGATAAACGAGCAGTGTTCAGTAACAGGGCGTCAAGTCAAGCAGTCCATAATCCTACTTTCACCCTAAAATTAAGCCTTTTTATATATTAATCTATCTTAATTGACTCTGTAGCTTACATCAGTATGAAGTTGCATACTTTAAAAGCACATTCAAGAAGGTGTGGTTTTGAGGAATGACATAATGTGTCTCTTTACAACTACTGATAGGGTTAGGGTTAGAAAATGTTCCTGGGTTCCTATTAATATTACTATCCACTTTTAACGAGTTTCGTTCTTGTTATGTGCTTCGGCTAGTTTGGTCTGTAGTTGGTTCAACTTTGGGACAACTTAAGAACCAGTTTACTTTTCCGGCAACCAGAGTCCGAGGGAACCCACGGCACGTTGCTGTAGCGCCATATAATGAATAATATGGTGAATGTTCTGCGACTTTACGGCTTTAAAATATATGATTGTGTTCTTGCCACTTTTCGATCTTGGTGCTTCTGCTTATGTTACTACTTTGTGCTCTCGCCCTGAGCTGTTAGTGCTCCAGTTAATCTCTGACATGTGGCTCTCGGTTCTGGTGGCTGCTGGTTGAGTATATTTGGGGCCAGAGTTGGACTTAATTTCAAGGCCGGTGCTGATACAGTGGAAACACCAAATACTGGTTTGCAATTGGGCACCAGCTTCAAACTGGCACTGGCACTGCCTCAGTGGAAAAGGAGTAGAAAGGGTCTGAAATGGCTTCATTGGTTAATTCAGATGGAGGCTGGAAACTCTGAATCACAGATCAGCAGATACTTTCAAAATCGCTATTTATAGTCAGTATCTGTCTCTGTTTTTTATTATTTACTGAACACCCTGTCCTTGAAATTGAAATTCTCTGTCTGTATCTGCCAAAAGGACTCCGTAGTAAACTCTGCAGATTCATCTATAAAACATTCGGCGATTGTGAACCATCTCCTCTTTCTCCAGGTGTGGTTGTTGGGGAGGACGATTGGACTGCAGATCCGATGAGAAAGAAGCCGATGAAGGGTGGCAGCCGCCTCTTCATCGGCGCCGCCATCGATGGAAAGTCGGAGTATTTCCCCACGCTGTCCAGCAGGAAGCTGGTGGCGGACGAGGAGAGCGTCAACATGTTCTCTCTGGTCTACCAGGACGAGTTTGTCTCCTCTCAGATCAAGATCCCGTCCGATACGCTGTCCTTATACCCGGCCTTCGACATCTACTACGTGTACGGATTCTCCAGTCGCACCTACGTCTACTTCCTGACGCTGCAGCTGGACACGCAGCTCACGCAGATGGACGCCGGCGGGGAGAAGTTCTTCACCTCTAAGATCGTGAGGATGTGCTCCAACGACACCGAGTTCTACTCCTACGTGGAGTTTCCTCTGGGCTGCACGAAAGACGGCGTGGAGTACCGGCTGGTTCAGGCCGCGTACAAACAGAAGCCCGGGCGGAGGCTGGCGCAGGCGCTCGGTCTGACGGAGGACGACGATGTGCTCTTCGTCGTCTTTTCACAGGTGAGCTACCTTCATGTCTTTCATTATTGTCAAGCACTTTGAATTGCCTTGTGTTGAAAGGTGCTGTATAAATAAACTTGCCTTGCCTTCAGCTTCCTCCGTTCTGATTGGACGTCTTTATCTGGACTCTATACTCGTTTGTTTATTCCTTTCGTTGCCTCTATTTTTTCTTTTCTTTTTTATTCCCTTGTCTCTTTCAATGTCTGTTATTTCCTTTGTATTGATCTATTCCTGTTTTGTCAGTTTAAATGTCTTCCCTTAGCTTTCTTATTTTGTCTTATTGTTGATTTTTATTTATTTATTTAGCTGTTTTTTGTCTTGTTTCTGGTCTGTCTATATTTCGTCTTTTTAGGGTTTCTTTATTTTTTCTTCTTCCATTTCTACCTTTCATTTTATCCATTCACAATTCAAAAATATGCCTTTTCTTTACTCCTTTTTCCATATTCCCCCGTCTTGTCTTAACTTTTCGATAACAATATTCTGTTTTTTCCATTCCTTGTTTGTCTAACGTCTAGACTGCAGACGTTAGACAAATCAAAAGATCAAAAGAAATAACTGTTTACCCTACAAACATTTATTCTGATTGAAGCTTTCCAATTTCTTGTTGACTTTACTTCTTAAATGTTTCTTTCTTGCTTTACTTTTTCCTCAATCAGTCCTTCTTCTGCTTTTGTTCTTTCTCTAATTATTGGTTTGTTTTTACTTGTTGATGTTTTACTTTACTTTTTTTTCATCTTTTCAGTTTTCTTTTTGTCATTCACTATCGTTTCTTTTACTCTGACATTAGTGGCAGTGCCTTGTTTCAGAGATCCAAACCAGCACTTTTCAGACTCTTCTTTGTGTGTTTTTTTGTGTTTTCAGGGTCAGAAGAACCGCTCGAACCCCCCCAGAGAGACGGTCCTGTGTCTGTTCACGCTCCACGACATCAACCTCGCCATGAGGGAGAGGATCCGCTCCTGTTACCGTGGCGAGGGACGACTCTCGTTACCCTGGTTGCTCAATAAGGAGCTGCCCTGCATCCACACGGTGAGTTCAGTAAACCTTAAAACACTGATAAGAGACTGATAAGAGTTTGGAAGTTGTGTCTTGATGCTAACCCTTTATTTGCTAAATGTTTCCCAAACTCTCGCAAGACTCGCTGTTTGAACCCAAACCTGAACCGTTCGAGGTCGGATCTCTTGAGAGTTTACAAATCAAGGGTTACCATCTATAGCTATAACTATATCTATAACAAAAATTGTTGATACGGCTGAATCAGTCTGTATGTTAGCTATTCGTCTGTCGACCTATAACCTGCAGGGTGACCTTTACTTTCTTGCTAAAACGTTATGATTTTAAAGCGTAATTCCATCTAAGCTAACGTTAGGCTATGAAAGAACTACAGCACGGTCCACATGACTTCACGTCACCACCGCTAAGCTAAAGGCGGCTAATATTGGGCTATAAAAGAACTACAGCATGGTCACAGGGACTCACGTTACCACCGCTAAGCTAAAGGCGGCTAATATTGGGCTATAAAGGAACTACAGCACGATCACATGACTTCACCGTCACCACCGCTAAGCTAAAGGCGGCTAACGTTAGGCTATAAAGGAACTACAGCACGGTCACATTACTTCACGTCACCACCGCTAAGCTAAAGGCGGCTAATGTTGGGCTATAAAGAAACTACAGCAGCGGTCACATGACTTCACATCACCACCGCTAAGCTAAAGGCGGCTAATGTTGGGCTATAAAGGAACTACAGCACGGTCACATGACTTCACGTCACCACCGCTAAGCTATAGCGGCTAATGTTGGGCGTGATGATGTTTAGTTGTCTCATTTAAACACTTGTTAGCAACTGCTGTTTTTAAATTCACCTGTGGGGTTTTTACTGAGGTATTTTATGTCGTAGAAAAAAAAAATCAGCTTGTGTTAACCACAGACCTTATTTCAGAACTAAAACCATTGACGAGGCAACAGGAAGTGTTAAAACGCCGACTCATTTTCGGTTTTAGGACTCATTACTGCACCACACCTGAAACACACTGATTTAATACTATACTACATTTGTGCTTCCTATACTATAATATACCTGTCTATAATGGAGCTCTTCATCCCAAAGATCTTTCCAGAGATATCCCCCCCCTCTTCTCTCTCTGCAGTGGGGTTATTTCAGGTCGGGGGGGGGGGTGGGTAGATGATGTTCTTATTCATGGCAGTAATGGCCTGCAGGGTAACCATGGTAACCCAGTACAGGGAAACCCGCCAGGATACGAGTTCGGGATGGAGAGGGGGGGAGTCTGGATTTGGGAATATGGAAATGGGGGAGGGAGATAGGTGGTCGCCCCCGGCAACTAACTAACCAATGAAGCAACTAACCAACTCAATATCTAACTAACGAATGACAACCAATCAGCCGTGAGATGATGAAAGTGATGAAATATGAGATAATGAGCTATGATATTGGTGTGTGTGTGTGTGTGTTGTGTGTGAGTGAGTGTGTGAGAGTGTGTGTGTCAGAGTGTGTGTGTTTTGAGGGCAAAGACAGAGGAGGTGGGGCCAGTGTCCAGGCTCTGACCTCCTTCTTTTATCATAAACAGCAGGGAGTGTGTGAGTGTGTGCTCATGCATGAATGTAATATGACAAGGTCCTTGTTCGTGTGTGTTTTATTTGTGTATGTGTTTATTTGTGTGTGTGTGTCTCAGTCTTGTTTTTCATTAAGCGTCACCAGCAGGCCGCCTGTCTGCACAACATGTAACAATCTGTCCTGTACGTGTCTGTGTGTGTGTGTGTTTGTGTGTGTGTTTTGTACCTTCAGGACTTTCCTTCACACTTAATGATGATCTGTCTGCCATGCACACACACACACACACACACACACACACACACACACACACACACACACACACACACACACACACACACACACACACACACACACACACACACACACACACACACACACACACACACACACACACGTTCTTCTTCACTTGTGACAATCCCGTGTGTTTTGCTGCAGTCTGCTGTTATTGCCTCCATGTTTCCTTTGTGCAGCTCACCTGAGCTTTTTTTACTGTTCATTCAACGATTAAGAGTAAAATAATAAGTACTTTAATGCTTCAGTATTTCTTAAATTGCAGAAGAAGAAGGCATGCAGGATTTCAGCCCTAATTACTAGGGCTGTCAGTCGATTAAAATAGTTAATCGCACATTTTTTATCTGTTCTAAATGTACCTTAGAGGAATATTTTTCAAGTTTTGAATACTCTTATCAACATATGAGTGGACAAATATGCTTTATGCTAATGTTTATTATCATTTGAACAATGACAAATATTCTCATGAATATTAAACACAACAACTTCTGAACATTACAAATATTCGCCTCAATTCAACCTGGAACCTCTCTCAGTGTGTGTGTGCGTGTGTGCGTGTGTGTGTGTGTGTGTGTGTGTGTGTGTGTGTGTGTGTGTGTGTGTGTGTGTGTGTGTGTGTGTGTGTGTGTGTGTGTGTGGTGTGTGTGTGTGTGTGTGTGTGTGTGTGTGTGTGTGTGGTGTGTGTGTGTGTGTGTGTGTGTGTGTGTGTGTGTGTGTGTGTGTGTGTGTGTGTGTGTGTGTGGTGTGTGTGTGTGTGTGTGGTGTGTGTGTGTGTGTGATGGATCGTTGGAGCTATGTGCAACTCAAGGCATATGCTCGAACGGGAGCTGCCTGGACGCTGCAATCATGTTGCGCACTATCCGTGCTGAGTGTGCTGACTTCTCGTACAATGTCCCACTGTCTGGCTTCCTGCATAAAGTCAAGTGCTCGGCACAGTTGTGGCGAAATGTCGCTCCTCTGTTTTCATTTAAACAGCTCCTTGTATCTCCTTTTTGCGTTAACGCGTTATTAACTATTAACTTGACAGCCCTACTAATTACATTAATAATCTCTTGGTTTTGCTGTACTTATGGACCTTTTTTTGGAACAATACAATATATATTTAATAGGAGATGGAGGCTACTTGTCTCGTTACACTTGGAACAAATGCTTTGTTATCAGTTTTCCCAGGAACAAGACGCACACTCTGCCATTACAAGCAAAAGAAACGTGTTTTACCTCAAGTGCAGTTTCTTCTGGACAAAAGGCCAAATCTGAGGGTCTCGATACATAGATTTCAGAAATCTGATCAAAGATTGTAAGGCAAGGCAAGGCAAGGCAAGTTTATTTATATAGCACTTTTCAACACAAGGCAATTCAAAGTGCTTTACAAAAAATGAAAGACATTCAGAAAAAGGCATTTAAAAACAGTCATTAAAAAGAAAAGACAATAAAAGAAAAAAATACATGGATACAAGTTACAGTGCAGTTTAAGATGTGAATAGTTCAATTAAAAGCAGCGACAAAAAGAAAAGTCTTCAGCCTGGATTTAAAAGTAGTCAGAGTTGCAGCGGACCTGCAGGTTTCTGGGAGTTTGTTCCAGATATTTGGAGCATAATAACTGAACGCTGCTTTACCATGTTTAGTTCTGACTCTGGGGACAGAAAGCTGACCCCGTCCCTGAAGACCTATTTTAGGTTAACCCTTTTGGTTTCAGCCTACCATAATAACATATTAAAATGTTCTCTGACACCAGCCATGTTCTGAACAGTAAATATGAATTGTTACCATCACATTGGAGATACAGGGTCCCACTACTTATTAGGATTATACCGAAATAAAAACAACTGATTCAAAAACTGTCAATAAATAGTTAAAATCCATTCAAAAACTTGCATGCAACCAATGTAATGACTTAGTAGTAGTCATTCGTATGTGCATTCGTCTGGTTCACGTCAGTTTATCCTCTGTCTCCTCTGCTCTGAGACTCTGCAGTTTGAGGACAAAAGCAGAGTTTACTACGGACTCATTTTACAGGCAGGTAACGTTTCAAGGACAGGGTGTTTAGTAAATAAATAAAGGACATCTAAATAGTGATTCTGAAAGTATCCGCTGACACACACACACACACACACACACACACACACACACACACACACACACACACACACACACACACACACACACACACACACACACACACACACACACACAGCAGATCCTGTTTCAGAGTTTCCACCATGCTGCGATGCATCAAGGCCTTAACCCGATAATGACAGGGTGTTAGCCAACCTCTCTGTGTGTATAACTGTGTGTGTGTGTGTGTGTGTGTGTGTGTGTGTGTGTGTGTGTGTGTGTGACTGAGTTTGTGTGTGTGGACCCTGTAATAATAACCCTGCTCCTCCCTGTTTCTATACACTCCTCTCTCCACCCCGAAACTCTCAGAAGGACCAAACGTATACATCATCTCCGGTTAGACCAGGGGTCTGCAACCTTTTTGACCAAAAGAGCCATTTTGCCCCCTTTTCCACCAATGTGTTGGTCTGGAGCCGCAAAACCTAATTGATAGCATGATAGCTTATAAAGTTGAATATATTGTTACATCATAGACAAAAACTGAATTTCTTTTGCATTTATTATTTATTACATTATAGAAAACTGTTTACCTCTAATAATAAACAAAGAATTCTTATAAGGAGAATTAAAAGAAAATACACCGGCCTACTTTAAAATAAATCAACACAGCACTTGGGGAGTCCATTTGAAGAAAATGAATATAATTAAAATGGGCCCACTTTGAAATACATAAAAATATATAGCTGCACCGGATACAAGCGGCCGAGATCGGTTTTCTCCGCAGGGTGGCTGGTGTCTCCCTTAGGGATAAGGTGAGAAGTTCGGTCATCAGGGAGGGACTCGGAGTAGAGCCGCTCCTCCTTCGCGTTGAAAGGAGCCAGTTGAGGTGGTTCGGGCACCTAGTTAGGATGCCACCTGGGCGCCTCCCTAGGGAGGTGTTCCAGGCACGTCCAGCTGGGAAGAGACCGAGGGGTAGACCTAGGACCAGGTGGAGGGATTATATCTCTTTGCTGGCCTGGGAGCGCCTTGGGATCCCCCAGTCAGAGCTGGTTGATGTCGCCAGGGAAAAGAAAGTTTGGGGCTCTCTGCTGGAACTGCTACCCCCGCGACCCGACCACGGATAAGCGGGAGAAGATGGATGGATGGATGGATATAGCTGCACCCTAACAAGAGTTAACTGATTGAATTATGACTGAAGGTCGTCAGCTGTCTTCCTCTTCAGGGTTTTTCCTCGATATGTAAAGGCTGCAGCACCTTTGACAACTTCTCTCCACATATCAAACATAGCGGTAAGCCAGCATCGTTTGCTTGAAAGCAGATAACTCTAACCACGCAGAACTAAACCCTCTGTGTTCCTCCGGTACTTTTATTTTCTTTGATTTATCCATAGTTCGCTCATCGAGCCGGGGGTCAGGTTATTCGCCTGCAAGAAAAGGCGCTGGCGCGGGACCGTAGCAGGATGTGACGCATATTTTAGTTGACCTAATTAAAACCGTTTTGTTTTTTATTTATGTGTCACAGCATCACCTCAAAATACAAGATACGAAACATTTTCAACCGTGCAACAAAATATAAATATTCCTACAAATACTTTGATTCCCTTCTTATTTTTGTCTAAGCTCAAGGGAGCCAGAGCAGAGGGCTTAAAGAGCCGCATGTTGCAGAACCCTGGGTTAGACCATCTCATCAGCATAATGAAATAATAGATCCACACACACACACACACACACACACACACACACACACACACACACACACACACACACACACACACTGTATAATGTATCAACACTCACCTGGTTCGAGTCAGAGTAGATGATCACATTTGTGTTTCTGCTGAGGAGAGATTTAGAGCTACAGGTGTGTTTTAATTGATTGACAGGTATCTCAGCCAATCATTACAGGACACAACGTTTCCTTATTTCCCTTTTCTTCTTTTAGCCGTTTTCTGCTTGTGTTATAAAGCTAACATGCACCAGATTCCAGATGACTTCCTCTACCAATATGTCTTCTTCTTCATCTTAAGAAGACTGATATCATCCTGCAGCATTTCAAAGGAGTCAATAATATGTACTTCAACAATAAAGACGTTGTAATAACTTCTCCGCCCTCTCTGTCCTGCAGCCGAAGCAGATCGGGGATGATTTCTGCGGCCTGGTGCTGAACCAGCCTCTCGGGGGTCTGCGGGTCATCGAGGGCAGCCCGCTGTACGAGGACCGCACGGAGGGCATGGGGGCCGTCGCCGCCTACATCTACGGAGAACACACGGTGGTGTTCGTGGGGACACGCAGCGGGCAGCTCAAGAAGGTAGGAGGGAGCGAGGGGATGTGTGAAGCTGCTGTGTGGGGTTTGATCATAGGAGTCAACATGTCGATGTATCCTTGGGCGAGATACTTAACCCTGAGTTGCTCCCGATGGCCAACGGTGTGTGAATGTGTATGAATGTTAGTTCCTAGGCTAAGGTACACTGAATGGGTGTGAAAGGGTGAATGACTTGTAGCATGTAAAGCGCTTTGAGGGGTCGTAAAGCGCTAAGTACAGTCCATTCACCAGTTATACTTGGGACATGTTTCCACCCCTTTTGGAAATTGCCATTCTTTGTCCCCACCACTTTGCATTAGGATAACTTGTTTTTAAAATGTTCTGAGAATAGAAAAGGTAGATAGAAATGTGTATTTGCACAAGAGAGTGCATTCCTGGTGACACGTTTCATATTAGTAATAATTGAATAGAGAATAGCTTTGCAGCAGCGTAGCATAGTTACTTCTCTAGTTGTCAACAAAATATAGTTAATGCATAGTGGATTTTTAAATATGATAAAAAGTCTCCCCACCCACTTTTTCGAACAAAGTGACGCCCCTGGGTTTGATTGGGACATTTCTCCACCACTTTGCATTAGGATCATTTGTTTAAAAAAGTTCTGAAAACAGAAATAATTGTTGAGAAGGTTTATTTGCACAAGAGAACATCTGGACAATCTGGAGGACTGTTCACACTTTCTGGGTGTATTCCTGGTGCAGTTTGGACCTGCGACACGTTTAATATTAGTAATAGTTGAATAGAGAATAGCTTTGCAGCAGCGTGGCATTGTTACTGTTCTAGTTGCCAAACAAGTATTGAAAGCATACTGTATATATGTATGTATTGTTTCCGTCGGACCCTTAATGCAGTAGTGGTTTTACAAATCTGAAAAAAGTGTCCCCAACACTTTTTCTAACTAATGGCGCCTACAGCGCGGAGCGAGGTTTAAGCGTGCCGTGCCCGTCCCGTTTGTGGTTTTGTTTCCACTTGGCGTAGTTCCGGCTAGCGGGTACTTTTTCAGTTTTCTGGCTCTCCAAAATCGAGGTTCTTCCCGGGCCAACAACCGGGCTGAGTAGGCTAAACTAGTGAGAGAATCGCTAGCAACGACAACAACATGAACATATTTGACCGTGATTTAATTGTAATACAGGTTTCAAAATGATGCCGAAGTAACAACACACTGATACCGGTTAGTAAAAACCATGAATTAATGCTTTGACAAGTCTGCAGACAGACGGCAGGCGAAACACCTTTTAAAATGCGTGTTTTCTAAATGTAGCTTGGCTAAGCTAACGTTGTATATGCTCCGACCGTCCACACTCACAACAACGGCCTACAGACATAAATAAACCAGCGACTGTATTCTCCATGACACAGGCAGTCTGTGGTTTGTACTTGTTTAACTTTTGTCTAGTTTCTGAACAGATATGAAGAGCTGTGAGCTCTGAGGGCTAACAGCTAACGGCTGATGTTGGTTTTGTGGTTTGCATTGAAGATGACGTCACGGCTCCGCCTACAATGCGTTACTATAGTTATTACCCCAGTTCCTAAACTGTAATGGAAACACAGCATAAAGTGAGCCAGGCCTAACTATACCGTACTAAGCCGAGCGAGGCCCTGCAGTGGAAAAGCGCCATATGTGACGCCCCTGGGTGAGATTGTGAGGAGAAAAAAGTGTGAAAAATATCATATTTGTGTTTGAAATCTAAGTTGTGCAGTTTTCCAGGTGCTTTGTGGTGTTTAGGAAGAATGAGTGTTTTTTTGAGGTGCTGCTTTCTGTGCAGAGGAAATGGTCGCATACATGTTTGAAAATCGCTTTCGAGTGTTTCCATTTAAGGAGCAGAGGGGGGGTAAATTGCTTTATGCATGTTTTAAATCACTGCAGGCTGTTTGGTGTGAAAGGAAGTAAAGGAACAGCTTGAGTTTCTTGTCTCACCTCCACCTCTGAAGTTTGGTTGCCATCTCTCACGATGTTTAATTAACTGAAGCATATGAAACGTTTGTGTTGCGTTTTTGTGGTTTTTGATACCCGAGAGTATTTTGCTTGAAGCTGATTTTTACTGTTGCTATCTGCTGATTTACACCTGTGTACAAATCTGTATTTGCGTCATGAATGCAGTGCAGTAAACGTAGAAAGCTTCACCATTTCCAAGTACTTCAAATTTCTACTTTATACTGAGATGAGTTCAGTTCAAAGAGAGTCTACATTTCACTGTATCCTTCATTTCATCCCAGTAAATGAAAAATGACGTTCCAGCATTTAGCATTGACTCAATAATAATAGTAATAATAATACTTGTGTATCTGATAACTGTTTCATTTATTTTACGTATTTCCTGCTGCCTCTCTCCGTGCTCCGCTCTCTCTTCTTCATATTGTTATCTGAAAATAATCCGAGCGTTGTTTTCGTTTCATAACACGGCAAACAATCTATTCATATCCAGGGTTATTTACTCACTGGTGGTGCATGGGGGTGTAGCAGCAGGTCTGCAGAGACCCCCCCTCCACCTTTATAAAGTTGTCTGCTTGGTGTTATTTCTCAGAGACTGTCTGAGGAGCGTCGCTCTGAGCTGCTCAGAGACTGTTTAGTGTCTCCTTCAGTCTGTTAAAGACGACAGGACACACTCCTCTCCGGAGGATTTACACTCTTCACTCCGTCTGCAGATAGCTTCACCGGGTGGAGAGACCTCAAAAGCAAAAGGACAGAAAGCAGATGTGATGAGGGACATTTTCCACCTGGAGTTTTAATCATCTTAGAGCTAAGATTACTCCATAAGTTATACACCAACCTATTCTGCTCATTTTCAGTATGTAGTGTCTCTACTTTAAAGAGTCCTCTCCTGCTGATGTTCAGGTGTATATCAGTATGTAGTGTCTCTACTTTAAAGAGTCCTCTCCTGCTGATGTTCAGGCATATATCAGTATGTAGTGTCTCTACTTTAAAGAGTCCTCTCCTGCTGATGTTCAGGTGTATATCAGTATGTAGTGTCTCTACTTTAAAGAGTCCTCTTCTGCTGATGTTCAGGTGTATATCAGTATGTAGTGTCTCTACTTTAAAGAGTCCTCCCCTGCTGATGTTCAGGTGTATATCAGTATGTAGTGTCTCTACTTTAAAGAGTCCTCTCCTGCTGATGTTCAGGTGTATATTAGTATGTGGTGTCTCTACTTTAAAGAGTCCTCTCCTGCTGATGTTCAGGTGTATATCAGTATGTAGTGTCTCTACTTTAAAGAGTCCTCTCCTGCTGATGTTCAGGTGTATATCAGTATGTAGTGTCTCTACTTTAAAGAGTCCTCTCCTGCTGATGTTCAGGTGTATATCAGTATGTAGTGTCTCTACTTTAAAGAGTCCTCTCCTGCTGATGTTCAGGTGTATATCAGTATGTAGTGTCTCTACTTTAAAGAGTCCTCTCCTGCTGATGTTCAGGTGTATATCAGTATGTAGTGCCTCTACTTTAATGTTCAAAAAGCTCTGCTCTGATTGGTCAGCTGGCCGGCTCTGTTGTGATTGGTCAGCCGCTTAGAGATGTCCCGCCCTGTACACTCATAGATCGCCTTTTTATGATTATTTTAGATGACATCTTGCCTTTTCCTCTTAAGCCACAAAGTAAACATGTGATTGTAATGAAAGTAAAATAGTATAATTTTACTAAATCTCCAATTTCTTTCATCATTAAGAGGCACCAACTTCCTCCAAAACAGACCCTTCACTTGATTGTTTCAAAAGTAAATTCATACTCCTTGATAAGACCCTTTTTTATTCATCTAAATTAACATTTTCAGCGGGATTGAAAGACTCTATCAAACTTAAAATAGACGTATTTGGCTTTATTTGAATCATACAGTTAATAATCTTAATTTAACACGGATAGGAAACTTCATTTTCCGGTTGAATAAATCCCATACTTGTACACACACACGTCGTCCTCTGCACTTCACACACATTCCTGCACACATCATTAAAATAAAAAGCTGCTTCACATTTGACACACAATCGTCTCCATTTTCCAGCCCGAGTGAAGGATGAATTTTAATTGCCTGAAAACAAAAAAATGGAGGTTCTCGGCATTCGACCCGATCACCTCTCCTCCCACGCAGCTGCCGCTTTAATATTCCCCCGAGATATTGCTCCAAACCAGAGAGAGATATTCCTCAAACCCGGAGAGAGATATTGCTCTGGAAGCGACCTCTGATGGAGGGGTAGCCGGAGGTGGAGTCTGTGCCGGTGTTGTGTCAAATTATGCACCCCCGTTGTGAAATGCACCCCTTGACACAAGAACGTGCATTTGAATGTATAGTCCGTTATTCTATGTCTATTTTGCATTCATTCGTCACTTATTTTTCAGTTAATTTTTTATTTAATATATGTTTTTATTTAATTGTGACGTCATGTCTGTATACTTTTGCTTGTACTTGTTTATTTTTACAACAAGTGCTTGAGGGTGGGATTAATATCATTATTTTTATTTTGGGGGGTGCTTTTTATGAACAGCCTGGTTGCCACGATATGCACCCCTTGCTATCTCTGACAATACACGTGTCACATACCTGAAACTTGCTCCATTTGTTGGTACTAGTCCTACAACTATACCCTCCAAAGCGCTTGAGGGTGGGATTAATAGAAGCATCTTGTTTTGGGGGGTGCTTTTTACGGCAGGCCAGGGGGTGCATTTCACGACGGGGGTGCATCATTTGAAACAACACCGGGAACAGCACATCGGTGGTTTTCTGGTTGTAGATGCTCGCGGACTTGTTCTATGTTTAGTGAAGCTTCCTCCTCCTCCTCCTCTTCCTCATCTTCCTCTTCCTCCTCTCTCAGTCCAACGAACGCTTTGAAAGCCAAGCAAACACTCTGCTATATAATATGTCCAATATTATTATTTGTAATATATGTGCTATAGGATAACGTGCAATTACGCTTCTGCCACTACGTTTTTTTGCACTACTAAATATAATATATATATATATATATATATATATATATATAATATTTACATTAATTATGTGACTGTCTATGTTTCCTGTAGTTATTTAATTGCTCTTTTTACTGCATTTTTATTGTATAGTTAATAATAATAATAATTCCTTACATTTATTATAGCGCTTTTTCAATGACTCAAAGCGCTTTACATATACACACATTACACATATATGATACATGCAATGGTCAGATACTGTGGACAATACCCACAGGAGCAAGTTCAGGTGAAGTGTCTTGCCCAAGGACACACCGGCTTTACAGACGCAGCAGCGGCGGGTTTCACCCCTTGATCTGATTATCATTGCACAGCGCACTGCGCCACACCGTCCATCTTCACGCCTCAAAGTCATCGAGGCGCTTTTACAAGTACACATTGGTATCATACATGTACTGTGGACATTACCCACAGGAGCAAATCCGGGTGAAGTGTCTTGCCCAAGGACACAACGGCCTGACGCAGTGGCGGCAGGAGCGGGTTTCGAACTGGAGTTCCCCAGCACCCCCCTTGATCTGATGATCAGATGCACAGACCAC